CCCCAAAACCCCAAAACCCCAAAACCCCAAAACCCCAAAACCCCTAAAAAACAATCAATAATAGAATTAATTTACCTCAACATAAAATGAATCATAAAGAAAACAAGCATGGGAAGGACCAGAAAGACAAGAAGCTGTTTACCAGAAGGAACATCAATAATTCAAGTAAGAGAAGTCTCTGTCTCTTATTCAGTTGAGGGTTTAGGGATTAGTAGTGGTAGAGAGAGTACTGGGTAGGTTTTTAGTAGATATTTTAGCATATTTTTAAGGGGTTGAATACTGTGATTCTTGGGAATAGGAGGCTTTGGAAGGGTGTATGGGGTGTAGAGGATTTTAAGTGGTTTTAGGTATTTGGGATAGTTTGAAAGGGTGGAAAATAAAGAGTTTTGTATTGATTTTAGATAATAGTTAGTCTAGTGCATTAGAGCTTTGGAGAAATAGGGATAAGACCTTAGGAATGCTTGTTTTATATGTGAAAATTCCCTCTGAGACTTGAGTACTAGTGATACACCAATAGAGATTCAAATTAGATTTTTCATTATGTGTTAAGGGCATTGGTGATCTCATAAAGTGCAGGGTAACATTGTAGTATATGATAGGCATATATTTCTTCCGATAGATGTTTATTATCCCTCTCATTCTTAGTCTTGGTGGAGAGGTTTCATTTATAACTAAAAATAGTTTTATCTGTCAAAAATTGCATTTAAAGTCTATTAAAAATTAGGATTAGAGGCCAGAATATTAGAAACTCCTCTCAAAATGCTGCTTGTGAGATCCTCTATAGACTAGAGTTTCTTCCTATTAAGTTTTATCAGATGTTTAATGGCCTCTCAAGTGGAATAAGCCCTTCAAATTAGAGCCAAAGCTGGCTCCACTAAAGATTTATTTCATTTTTTTCTCATGGCAAATGAGTTGGATGTTTGGAAAGGAAACACTCAGGTTTTGGGATTGTTAGAACTTTGATCTTCCCAAGAAGATTAAAAATCGACACTTCAGAAGTAACTGGCTTCTATGTGCTAGTGATGTTGGTCTTGCCTTAGCATTGATAGAACCAGTATTTTTACCGAACTCTCTTAAAATTTTTCGCTGAAGCAATAAACCATTATTTTTGAAGAATATAGAAATATGGTAGTAAAAGGCGAATTTAGGCGTCAAGCTTTTGTTCCTCTATAATTATGATATAGCAAGCCTATTAGATATACTCTTTATAATTGATTAGTATTAGATATACCTCTACTTTATCTGGCCGAGTTCTAACTTTGTTTTAAATTAAAAATATTTGATATAAAGTTGTCCAGTCCAAGTGGTGAACTCAAGTGTTTCTAAGATCATTTCCCTCATTTTTCTGCTTATTTTTAGCTTATTTTCATCGCTATTTTACAGTTCTCTGATATTCACTTCTAAACTAATAGTATAACTATAAAAAGTTGCTGAATGTCAAGTCGGGATGACTCCACCGATTTTTTCATCAACATAAACCTAAAATATCATGTAAATACTGTGTACATATTTATGGTTATAATTAGAACCCTGAGAGTACCAGTCACTAGCAGTTGTCCTACCCCTTCCTAAATTTCTTCAAAATTTGGCAGCCATTTTCTCCAAATCGTGAATAAAAATCTTTAGCTTAGAGTAAGTCTAAATTTATACACAATTTACTTTCCATGAAAAATTCTATTTAAAGGGAGAAATAAAAATTATGGTTGAATTTAGCCACAAAAGTTCGGTTTAATTTCTACCGTCTGTTTTATAAGTTTTAGACGGTATAGTACCACATTTTTATACCAATACATAAGCCAAGAGTCTTACTATGGGAAAATATTATAGCTCATCTTTGAAAAATTCATAGGATGGTTTAAAGCACTGAAATTTCTTAAGAATATTGATAATACATTAATTAGCTTTCTTATGCTAGTTACTCATCTTGACAGGTTTTTGAAAATAGTATAACCTTCATTATGTAACCGTAATGAAAGATACAATTTATCTAAAGAAGGCATCAATTTTATTGCCCAGATAATCTAGAAAGAATTCTTGAAATGTTTTCATCAATAAAATACGGCTAAGTCTCTCCAAAAAATTCGTGATTTCCAAAATTAGTCGGTTTTAACACCATTTGTTTCATAGAATATTTTTGTACTGTTTCATAAAAATTTTGAGGCCGAATCGGCCAACTTTAAAGGTGAAAAATCCTGATAGACATTACTTGGTGAAAAGTGTAGGATCGGAGCTAGTAGAAGGTCTGATAGAGAAAATAATTTACTAAAATAGTCAATCGATTCGGAAATAATTAAAAATATGAACTTCTGCTCATAGTTTATTATAGAAATAAAGAGAATGATCTCTCCAGACGTACCAAACCGATCTATGTTAGGGGTTGATACTAAGCAGATGAGACATCAGAGAAAATCAAGATGAAGAAATGCCACTCCTCATTTGAAAGGTAAAATTTTTAATCTTCATTATTCGGGTTATTATTATCAAGAATTGTTTCGGAACTTTCATGTGTTAATCATATTTTATAGGAAATCAGGCTTCTAACAATCCCTATCAGACTGTAAGTGAAACTACAGGTTATTTGTTATACTGGAGAATTAATATGAGCAAATTCTTACTATTTTTAGACCATGCAAATGATCAGCTTAAAATAAGAAAGATAATGTAAGACTTATATCTTTTCAAAATCTAAATATAATATAGTGTCAGAAAAAGAACAAGCATCAAAGTGGTAAATTTTATTACATTTGAAAAGCTAGGTTATTCATGAGGAAGATATAGCTGAGCTGACTTATTTCCTTAGTCTAAACTCATAATAAACCACTCTAATATGACTCCTAATCACTTATGTATAGGTCATAAAAGAAGTGAAATAAAGCGAATTATGTCTCCCTCGAGGCCTACTTCCTCATTTAACCCTGCTACTGGTAAGAATCTTATCAATTTTTTTAAAGAATTTTGACTGGAAATCTTACTTTTTATCTAGAACTAGCATCAACTATGAACACTACTCCTATCAGCAACGTAGGAGATAATCCGAGTTTCATTCCTAAGAAGATGAGGAAGCATGCTTTCATCAACAATCAGAAGACTATGGGAGGAAACACACTGAAAGATCGGAAGAGTGTACACCATTTCATCTAATTTCTCTAGAACATCCCTCTTTCAGAGAAGAAGAGAAGACTAACCAGACCAACTATGACGGGAGTCATGAGCTTTAAGTTCCAACAGGGACGCAACAAGAAGGATAAGACCCCTCGTAAGGTGGAAATGCCGAAAATTTTTGAGAAAAAGAAAACTACGAGGAGAGAAAGAATCCTATCTATTGATTCAAAACAAAAATTTTTAAAGGAGAAGACAAAATCGTCTTCTAGGACTCCCTTGTTTAGTCCTATCCAAAAGGCAATCGCAAATATGCCTTTCTTTGGCAGGAACATCAGTACTCTTTCCTGGGTTTATCTGTATAGGTCCTCTGATTAAACACTACAAAGCGAAAAACAAGAATAAATACAATAGGACTAAGCCAAAGAAGAAACTCAAGCTTGAGATGGCTAAAAATATTGAAGAAAATTCCAGAGTTAATATGAGGTAAACCACTTTTCTTAAAAGTCTCTGTTTTAAGTCAAGTTTTAAATCTTATTATAGGTACCTTACAAGGAACAACCCTGAGAATATGTCTGTAATGAGCTCAAGAGCTATAAAGAGGCTACATGATACTGTAGGTAATGAAGTGAGTAGGAAGGATTCTAACCTCTCCTTTGTGCTTAGTATGTAATCATTATGATCATCTGTCACTTAATATCAATTCAAACATGCTTATTCCAATCTAATTTACTCTATGCGGGGTTTTGGGGTTTTGGGGTTTTGGGGTTTTGGGGTTTTGGGG